GTGACATCCCTTAATGTCAGGGGTTTGAACACTCCCGAAAAGAGATCCATGATCCTGCAGGAGTTTAGGAGACTTAAGAGTGTAATCTGCTTTGTCCAGGAAACTCACTTTCGATCAGACCAGGTCCCCAAATTTCACAACTTTTATTACCCTCATGCATACCACTGCTCCACGCCAGATTCTAAGACTAAGGGTGTGAGCATTCTGCTGCATCGTAACTCTGACTGGAAGCTTGTGGACACATGGGCGTGCCCAGAGGGGCGGGCCCTTTTTGTCAAGGGGACCTTGGGCGGTCAACCTTTATAGATCATTGGTTCGACCTCATCTGGAGTACGCGGTCCAGTTCTGGTCACCAGTACTAAGAAAAGATGTCCTTGAGTTGGAAAAAGTCCAGCGGAGGGCAACCAAACTAATTAGGGGTATGGAGGACCAGAGCTACGAGACAAGGCTACTAAATTTAAACATGTTCACATTGGAGGTGAGGAGATTGAGGGGGGATATGATCTCCATGTACAAAATGTTCAATGGTGGCAGCAACATTAGCGATAAACTGTTTAAAATTAACTCCATTACAAAAACTAGAGGCCACCACCTAAAATTGGTGGAAAAAAAATTCCAGCACAAGGGGCGAAGGGGGTTCTTCACAGTAAGATCAGTTAGGGTCTGGAACTCACTGCCACAGACAGTGATTTCAGCAAAGAATGTGGAATTGTTCAAGAAACTTTTGGACGATTTCTTAAGGGACCGTAATATACAGGGGTACAGGTACTCCTAGAATGAGATCCTAATAGGTTGGACTTGATGGACTAATGTCTTTATTCAACCTCAAATACTATGTAACTATGTAACCTTGCACCTTTGCCAATTTATATCTCCCCAATACCCGCCAGATCTCCTACTTGGAACAGGTACTGGAACGTCTCTCACTCTTTGCAGACGGGGTGTGGGTAGTAGGAGGGGACTTTAACTTTGTACTAGAACCATTGATAGACTCCTCTAAGTCCGCCTCCAGCATGTTCTACCCCGCACTTAAACGGGTTCGTAAATGCCTGCGAATGCACCAGCTGACAGATGCTTGGCGCCTGCTTCATCCCACTGACAGGGACTACACGTTTTTCTCTAACCCACATCAGTCCTACTCCAGAATCGACTGGTTCCTAGTCAGACACACTGACCTCCCGCGTTTACAAACCGCAACTATTGGCTTTATATCCCTCTCTGACCATGCAGCGATTTCACTCGACATAGACTTATCCCAGTCGCCACCTCCCCCCTGGACATGGCGACTAAATGAATCACTCTTGCAAAATGACTCTATATCCCAATCGGTGCGCTCTGAACTACAATCCTATTTTTCCACCAACGCCACCCCAGATTGTACCCCCATGATTTTGTGGGAGGCACACAAAGCTTACATTAGGGGAGTTCTTATCAAACATGGATCCCGTGTTAAACGTGCTAGACAGGCCAAGATTACCGATATACTTGCCAAAATCCACGCTCTAGAGACTCTCCATAAACGCACCCTGGTGGCCGGAGCCTTGGGGGAACTGACGGCTCTGAGGATCCGCCTACAGTCCCTTTACTTGTTTAAAGCAAAAAATGCGCTCACTAGATGTAGAAATACTTTCTATGAATACGGAGACAAATGTGGGAAAATTTCTGGCTCGGGCTTTGCGAGCTCAAAGGGAACGTTCCTTTATCTCCGAGATTCTGACTCGCAATAGTGCAAAAGTTTCCCAGACCAGAGACATAGCAGAGGCGTTTCGGCTCTATTATGAATCCCTCTATAACCTTAGGAGTGATTCTGGGGCCCAAGGAGCCCGGCCTTCTATAGAGACCATTCACGAATACCTGATGGGCTCAGGGATGCCTCGACTCCCGAATGAGGCTATTCAAGCTTTGGACTCTCCCATCACCCCTGAAGAACTGGCCCTGGCTATCTCACAGACTGCTACGGGGAAGGCGCCCGGTCCGGATGGCTTCACCCTGGCCTATTATAATCTTCTGGACTTGCCCCAGAGTGACCCCATTTTGGTCCGCAGTTAAGTCACTTCTAGGCAAATTTACCGATAGGGAAATCCCACAAGATCCAGCCTTTTTTCTCCTTCACCACAACTCCCTCTCAAGGAAAAGCTATAAGTCATCTATTCTACCACACCTCCTGAATGCAGCACGTTGTTGCATCCCGGCTTGGTGGAAATCGACCCAGACGCCCACGGTGTCCATGTGGCTTCATAAAGTTGGTGAGGTGGAGAGAATGGAGGACCTGGTCTGGTCTGGACGAGGCCAACATGCTAAGCACTGCAGGACATGGTCATATTGGACCGCTTTTACGCAGACGACCAAATACAATACCCTGTTGCAGGGTCCCCTCTAGAGGTAGGCCGCGACCGAACAGGTAGAGAAGGTGGTCCGGGAACTAGTGCCTGACCCCCAGGTCACCTAACCTTATTCCCGCCCTACCCCCCTCCATACCTCTTCACAGCTCCTCTCCCCCCGCTGCCTGCCCCTCTCCCTCCTTCTCCAAATGTCAGTATCCAATACCCCCTCCCTTTCTAGAACCTGGCCCCACACCCCCCTTCCTCTTTGGTAATATCCCTGTGGTCTGTTTAGATAGCCGACAGTGGAGGATGGAGTGGCGGGTGCCGGCGCTTGGCCTTTTGGTTATACCTGGGCCCGCGACGGTACGCGTCGACTTCCTCCACCTTCAGATACACCTACTTATTGTTTCCACACGATCCCCATATACTTCTATGTGTATATGACTAACCTTCCTGAGTATCATTTGCTGGAAGTCGAGATAGCTACCTGACAAATGGCTGTCGTATAAGCTCCAAACGATGAAGACATTACAACCACAGAATATGCTGCTGCAATGTTTATGTATCACACTGTTTATTATCGGTATTACCTGTATTACCTGTATTACATATATCTGTCCTTCTCTTTTGTTTGGAAAAGACGGAAAACTTTTGAAAACTTTGAAATAAAGAATTTATTTTAAAAAAAAAATATTCATACAAGCAAAATAAATACACATGTAAAAAAGCATAGCATAAAAACATTAAATATTTTAAGTCACGCTTGAAACCATAGAGTATTATAAAAATCTACTAATATGTGTTTGTTGTCATTTTTCTACTATACAAAAGTATCTAGGTCCATCTTTCTGCTTGCCTTTCCTCAGATTTTGCACTCGGACATGAACATTCTAAACTTTTAGAAAAAATGTTTTTAAATAAAACAGTCGAACAATTTATAATATTAGGTTTTTCCAACACAGGCCAGTTATGGCCTTTCCTCTTCAGTCTCCTATTAATTTCATATTTTCTGATAATAACTGGCAATGTGACAATATCAGCATTAATCTTTGTTGACAGACACCTTCATGCACCAATGTACTTTTTTATTGGTATGTTGTCTTTTCTTGAGATATGGTACACAGCAGTCACAATTCCTTGTATGCTTACTATAATTTGGAAGGGTAAGACCCAAATCTCATTCAATGATTGTATGATGCAAATGTACCTCTTTCACTCATTTGGTATTACAGGGAACTATTTACTTAATGTGATGGCTTATGATCGTATGGTCGCAATTTGCAATCCTCTTCGGTACCATAACATAATGACTTTAAAACGCAGCAAGATTTTAGTCTCAAGTTGTTGGGCTCTTGGATTTCTGAGTCCTGTAACACTTCTTATTTCAGTCTCACAGCTACCATTTTGTGGTCCAAATGAAATAAATCATCTCTTCTGTGATTCATCTCCTCTTCTAAACTTGGCATGTACGGATACATCCTTTAATTTCATTATCGATTTTGCTATTAGCTTGTGCATGATAATCTTGACCTCTCTTTTTCTTATTGTGACTTATGTGAGAATTATAATCACCATACTGAAAATGAAGTGTAGCAGTGTACAGAAGAAAGCCTTTTCTACATGCGCTTCTCATCTTATCGTTGTTCTTATCTTCTATGGAAGTGTAGCATTTATGTACATCAGACCACAAAGTAATTACACTCCAGAATATGACAAACTGGTGGCTATCAATTATTCTGTACTAACGCCACTCTTGAACCCTATTATATATAGTTTTCGAAACAAAGAAATCATAAATTCATTGAAAAAGTTACTGCAAGCCAATAAATTATGGTGGAAATTCTTGAAATAAACCTGATGTATACAGCCTGACTTTGTTTGCATCTATATTATTTTGAGATGTGTCTTGACAAAATATATTTGATTATTAGAAAATATTTTCATATAATGATGGAAAAGAAACGTATGGCCCTAAACTGATTTTTTTCAGTCTGTTTTAATATCTAGTGCTAAGATCCAGGCAAACAGCCAGACACGCAGATGCAATACATATGCAAGAGCTGTTTTACCTGCAAAAGTGATTTGTTTATCTGTCCATCCTGAGATTTGCACAGATGTCTGGTAGGGTAGGAGACCTGATTTTTCTTTGCGGAAGTTCAATAACACTTGCTGATCTTATCCCTCCCACATTCTGTGTTTGGACAGTAAAAGTAGAGGTAACAGACTGATGAGCTAATCTCTCGGTTACTCTCCTTTTTCATCCTATCAGCATGCTCCTTGCACTGCTTCACAACTGTTTGGCTTCATGTGCTACTTCTCCCTCATCCAGACTGAGTTTGTTTGTACAGAGACTACAAAAGGATGATGCCGATTCAAACTCAAGTATTAATACTGCTTGCATTAAAAAAAACATGTTTAAAGATGTATTAATGAATACGGAGCAAAAATTGCTAATGTTGCTAATTTTCTCCGCTTGTTATGGATTTACAGGGTTATTTACAAAATATGTTAGGAGTTTGGAGAAGGCAGGAGAAGTGTATAATCTAGGCCAAAATAGCTGGTTTGGAACAATTCTCCAATTCAGCTCACTTTCACGTTCAGCTATGTTGTCCTAGATTGTTCACTTCTCCTGCCTTCTACAAACTCTTCACCCTTTTGTGAATAACCCTGTTAGTGTGTCCAGACAGTTTATCAAAAACTGAACTTTAATGTACCAAAATCTTTCCAATAAACCAGTAGAAAACACAGCAGAACTTTTTTAATGTGACCCTGCTAATGACTCAACTAGATAACAGTGAAAATAGCCTGCAAACAGGAAGATGAAAACTCATCTTTTCAGTACAGTGTGTTGAATCTTTGCCTCCTTGCAAAGCACTGGGTGCCATTTCTATCCAGTATGGCAGATAGCGTTTATCCCCCTGATCACTCAGATTCCTCCTGCCAACCCCTATGACTCTACAAGACACACTGGGCTGCTAACGTGTTGACATTCACCCAAATGTCACAAATAATACCCTTGCAAATGTTTTTAACAAATAGTTATTTTCCGGTATTTTGGTTGTCTTCCACTGAGCAAATGTATCATTCCCTAATACCCTAATAACATGTGATGCTAAGAGAAAATAACCTAACCAAAAGAGCTTAAAACAATAGAAAAAAGAACATTTGACCAGAAGAGAAAAATACCACAAGAATATTCAGTTTTGCTCCATTCACATAACAGCCACTGTTTTATAGATTGTGTGGGAAAATCCCTTAAACTAATGAGCAGATGTTGGGTAATTCACACAGAATGAAAGTGTAGCCCCCATCACTTTTTTGAGGTGGCTACTAGACATTAGACATGTGCACTGCCAAAAAATTCGTTTCGTTTCGTTTTAAATTCGGATTTGTGTTATTTCGTTTTTCAGGATTCGGGTGTGAAAGTCAATTCGGATTCGGAATTCGTATTCGGACGAAATGCGGTAGCGTCGTACGAACGTTCGTTTCGTTTTCCGTTCTTATTCGTTTCTTATTCGTTTCGTTCGTTTGCAGCAAAAGTGACATTTGAGGGGGAAAAAATATTTTTCTCCTCTAATGTCACTTTGCTCCAACGAACGAAACGAATAAGAAACGAATAAGAAACGAATAAGAACCGAAACGAACGTTCGTACGAACGCTACCGAATTTCGGAAATGGAAATTCGGATTCGTTTGCATTCGTTATGTCTGTAATTCGGAATTCGGATACATCCGAATGTCCGAAAATTCGTCCGAATTTCGATTCGGAACGAAACGAATCGCACATGTCTACTAGACATTTAGTGATAGCCAGGGCTGTAGTCAGCCTGGTTGGATTATAGTGGCATGTATCTCTTTAATTCCAGGTGTCTGGAATTGACTGTACCCACGAGGCTGGAGTGTGGGAAGTGTTTCCTTCGGCCTCAGTTATGGAGGAGGCCTGTGCTGTTGCCAGAGGAAAAGAACCAGGAAAGTGGATGGCTGCTGAAGGTACACAGAATACAGAGGACCTCAGAATCAAAGCTGGTTTCTCACCTGCTGAGGATTTATGCTCATCCCTGCTCATCTGTTACTCCAATTATCATTTTCTTAAATTACACCCTGGATATCTAGGATCCCTATACCCTCTCTCCCCAGTATAAATATGTTAATAAAAGTTATTCAGCATTGCATTACTGAAGTGGATATCAGCTTTGTGGGCACTCGAAGAGGGTGGTTAAATGCTAATGAGGCAGCTGAAGACCAAATCCCCTAGACAACGAGTGATGACCCAGGTTATTCCAGTGGCTCCTTAGGGGGTGAGTGCTACAAACGTATATACAGTTCTACTAAACAGAAAGCTATTTTTATTTATTGATAGTCCTCAAACTGTGTTTTAACACTAGCCAAAACAAAACTATAAGTCTGCATCCGTCTTTCTCATCTAGCCACACCATTATTAGCAGTTGCCTGGGAAACACTATACATTTTTTTCTATTCATTATTTGCCCGTTTTTGGGGGTTTTTTTGGTTCTTATTTGTTGGTTTAAATGCAGTATATTCAAGAATGTTATTTATTAGTGGGGTGTGTTTTGAGTATTGACAATCATTATTTTATCTAAAACTGTAATTAGAGTTCCTATCTCAGACACAATGTTCAAAGGCTATGTGACAGAACCACAGAAGTGGAAACTAGAGGCATTACAACTGAAGACAAAAGCAATCAATTTAGAAGGGTTTTTAGCTTATTGTGCAAAAAATGCTACATGTGATTGTAAACAAACTAAAGACTTAGAGGGTTATTTACTAAAGAGCTGAAGGATATATTCGTAGCTTCGGCTAATCCTGCGGCCCACTTCGGCCACCGGAGCCCTTCAGTTCAGCCGAACTAAAGGGCTTCTGTACGGGCTATTCACAAAAGCCCTTCCAGCAGCCGAAGGCAGCCGAGCAGAACACATATGCTTCAACTCGGGTAGGCCAAAGTCACAGCCGAAGCGAGGAGAACGGCCTGCCAATTTCCGTGAAATCCACAGATTTTATTTTACCTTAGATGATGGTCTAAGGGGGTTATTCACTAAGCTGCCAAAGGCAGCCGAGTATTAGGAAGGAAGAGAAGGTCCCCTGTTTGCTGGAGTGGAAATGAATAGCAGGGAACAATGCCAGAAGGAGAGTCCAGGCTGAGGTACAAGATAGGATGATCCAAAATGCGTTGTCAAAATACAGTCTGGGTCGAGGCAGGCAGCGAGTATCATAAACGGGGAGACAAGCCAGGAGTCGATAACCAGGAGATCCAAATAGCGGGGAAGGAAGGCAGGAAACAGGAAATTCTTAGCTGCTTTGGGTATGGTAGAATAACTCGGCAACAAGTCTTGGCTCTGGCTGGAATTAAAAACCCAGCCGGAGCTAGCGATGCCCCCCGTTGCCCAGGCAACAAGGAAGCCACAGGTCCCTAGGAAGCAATGGGATGGCTAGGAGAGAAGGTGTGCTCACAAGGCTCTCCCTGGCAATGATCAACACCCGAGGTGACTAATAGGCCACAGCAGCGTAACGTGCAACACGCCGCTGCCGGGCACCAGGTCACACCCAGAAGGACCTTACAATCTCTGCTGTGCCCCCAGGACCCCAGGTAAGAGGGCACCCCTGGTCTCACGACACTGAGTGAATAACTGAGCTGAAGTGAACCGAACCGAACATACTCAGCATGTTCGGCTGAGCCGGAGTGAAGAACACGTTCGACTCAGCCGATCCAACATCTGAGCCGAACCTCCAGCAGTTTACTCGCTGCTGTTGGTCCCTATACTTACTATGCATAGTTGATGAGCCTGCTTGATCTTTTATGACAAAATAATCAACTTGGACTCTCAATTATTAGTGTTGTGCTCCCTCTGCTTTCTGCTATCCTGATTTGTTATAACTCTATGTCTAATAGAAAAGAATTTAAAATGTAAGTCTGTGAAGGTTCTGATCTATCCAGGTCACTGTGTATCTAGTAGTAGTTAGTTATTAGGGATTAACTCAGGTTTGGACCGAACTCGATCCAGGTTCAGAGGGCCTCCGGTTTGGAAGGAGCCCCTCCCATTGATCTTATATGGCTGCATGCCTATATTTGGTAAATATTTACCTAAGAAGGCCACATAGCCAAATAATGTCAGCACAAGCATCCCACCCCTTTGTTAACATGCAACTGCGGGACAGGAATGCCCATACAACAGTTTATTGGGTATAAGTGCTCATGGCACTTCCTTGTTCAGAGGAGCTCAGGTATGGACCAGGTTCAGTCCAAACCTGAGCTCATCCCTAGTCATATTCAGCTAGACTTCTTTGAATTTGTTAAATATGTTTTAAGCATCAGGAATAAACCAAAGCGATTATAGCCAAATGGGTAACATAAGCCACCTTAAGCCAATAACTACAGAATGTGTCAACAGTCAGCAAGAAAATTGTAGGGGGCGCAGGGGATGGCAACACGTGCCTTGTCACATTCCATGGTGATAAGAGTAAAATGACTAAGGTACCCATATTATTTTGGGGTATGTTTGTTATGGAAATTCGCTTGGTTAAACGCACAAATCCATGCCGCACTAAAGTGCGGCAAAGTATGCCAAACACAAAGAATTTCCCCCGTGCTTAAAAGCACAGTTGTATTAAGCTCTTTTGTGCAAGGATTGGAAGTACCCCTTTAGAGTCATGTAGAGTTAGGACACAGGAGACAGGTGTTGCTTTCTTGCTAGTTCCATTCTTAGAGAGCCAGCACAGGTATTTGTTTATTTTTATAGCTGCCCAACAGGAAGTGATGTCAGACAGGAAGTGATGTCTCACAGCAAACCAGGAAGTGATTTCAAACAGGAAGTGATGTCAACAACCAACATCACTT